CCTTGAAGAGATAACCAATTAGAAGTATGGCTAGGCACACAACATAATCTATAACTTTCATTTGAAAGTACAATTTTAGAAATTACCTTTTAATTAGGTACATCTACCGATATTACACAGGTCCTCTGAGAATAGTCTCATGTGACAAGTGAATGGCCAAATGAACCATCACATCGAAGAAGGCTGGAGTAAAGATCTTTTCAAACTTACATAGTATGAGTACTATAGGTTCCTCTAATTTTTCCATCTCACTTTGTTTCAGTGTCCTTGAGCATAGATCTTGGAAGAAGCTACCTAACTCAAAAAGTGTTGTACTGATCTCTTTATCTATGTAACTACGCATCCCAATAGGAAGAATTCGTTGTATTAGTACATGGTAGTCGTGGCTTTTCAATCCTGTTAATCTACCATTTTTTGCATTCACTGATCTCGAAATGTTTGCCGCGTACCCATCTGGATACTTGACTAATTTCAAGAATTCAAAGAAACCCTCTCTCTTTAGGGGTCAATGAGAAGCTGGCTTGAGGCTTCACATATGATCCATCAGGACTTGTTGTCAGCCACAATTCTTTCCTTATATTCATATCTTCTAAATCCATTCATGCTTTATCTGTATCCTTGTTCTTCCCATTAATTCCCAACATCGTTCCAAAAACATTTTCACTAAAGTTCTTCTCCACATGCATGACATCAATGTTGTGTCGAAGCCTCATTTTCTTCCAATACGGTAGCTCATACAAGATACTTATATTTGTCCAATTTGGGTTCTAACGAGGTCTTTTCCTGTTGCTTGGATGTTTTCCATATGTGACACCCGTCACGCTGCCCAATTGTTCTTCAATCTTTTCTATCGGTATCACCAAAGATCTCTTCCATTTTTCATGCTTGCCATTATATGCTCTACTCTTTTACCTTTTTGTGTGGTCATTAGGCAAGTAGCATCGATGGTTACTATATGCAGTCTTACTTCTTAAATATTCAAAATATGGTTCATCATTGCAAGTGTAGCAAGAGTAATGACCCTTTGTTCTCCATCCAGAAATGTCACCAAATGCGGGCCAATCATGTATCGTCCACAACAAAGATGCACACATGCAGAAAGTCTCACCAGTCGGGGCATCATAGGTTAATGTACCATTTTTCCATAATTCATTCAATTCTTCCACTAAAGGTCTCATGTAGACATCAATATCAATTCCTGGTTGTGATTCACAGGAATAAGTAATGACAGCATGAAAAATGGGTCCTTCATAGCCAACCACGGTGGCAAGTTGTACGAAATGAGTATGACAGGCCACAAACTATATGAGTTATTCATATTTCTGAAAGGGTTGAAACCATCAGTAGCCAACCCTGGCCTCACATTTCGAGGCTCCAAGGTGAATTTAGGATGTTGTGTATCGAATTCCTTCCGCTCATCGCTATCTGCAGGATGCCTCAATACACCGTCATCTAGACGTTTTTCCTTGAACCATTTCATATCCTCGACTCTCTTCCTCATGTACAACCTTTTCAATCTCGGTGTTAACGGGAAGTATCGAAGAACCTTACGAGAGATCTTCTTACCTCTACCACAATTTGTCTTGTATCTAGAAGCCTTACAATTTGGACATTTATCTAGTGTTGCATTCGCCTTCTAAAAGAGCACACAATTGTTTACACAAGCATCAATGAGCTCGTATGACAAACCCAATTCACGTAGTATTTTTGTAGCTTCATAAGTTGACTTTGGAACCAAATTATCCTTCAGTAAAAGTTTTGTTAAAAACTCTAGCATCATGTCAATTGACTTCTTACTCCAATGGTTTGTTACCTTCATATTAAGTATCTCGATGACAAATTTTAACAAAGTGTAATTTCTGCAGCCTGGGTACACCTCATGTTTGCCATTATTCAATAATTTATCAAAAGTGCGAACCTCCTCCTCCTGGGTTGTATTAGTTGATTGCCCTCTTATTCGATCTTCCACTAAGGCATCAATACCTTCCAAAACCTCATTGCCCTCAATGTGTATATCATGATGATAAGCCTCATTTGATTCACGGGGTTTCCCATGCACATGCCAGATAGTGTAAGTTGGAATAATCCCATGTTACAGCAAATGGATTTGAACAATTTGAAAATTTTGACGAACAACATTCACACACTTTTGACAAGGGCACAAAATTTTACCATCTCAATCGATAATCGCCATTGCAAAACGAAGAAATGATATTACCCGATCATTATATGCCTGACTTATCCTTCCATCAACTGTGCTACTTAGTGCAATCCAACTCTTGTCTATGTTTGACTATGCCGAGTTAATTAAAGTTAGGTGAATAGGACAAATTTTATATAGAAAAATATATATATATATATATTAATTAAAAAAAAGTTCAAGTTCAATGATTATACTGAGTTATATAAATTATAACCATACATAAGTCACATGAGGAAATAGTCAAAGCAATTTAGCATAAACAAAAGAAGTATTCAAAACCAAAACATAAACCACAACAAAATAACCATCAATAAGACAAATAACATAATTCAGAGAAAATTTAACCAATAAAGCAGTGAGCTGAGAGTATAAAGTAGATAAGAAAACCCACAATATGCCACATTGAGTTTCTAAAGCAGTCAATTTAAGTACTCAAATATCCAAATGCAAAATCTTATGATTGAACTGCACGTATTTGGAAAAATATATATATGCCCCGAATACCAAAGTTGACACATTTATTAACTAAATTGGGATTTTGAAAAAATAATACATTGGGAAACAATAACTATTCTGGCTCACATTGCACTCGATAAACAAAATGTGATTAAATTCTGCAGAGGAACTTAATAATGTACTTAAGGAGCTATGCATATAAGAAATGAATGATGCCAATAAAATTGATAGCCACATGTGACAATTCCAATGAATGCCCCAAGCCTATAATTTAGTACTTATGGCCTGTTATTGTAGTTCGTACTCTATTTGATTTTCTCTTTACTCAACTATATACGAAGTCCAGAGAAGTTAAAGCAAGATATGCTAATTTAAGGGTGTAATATTCCAATTTTCATTAAATCGATAGTTGTGAGAGAAAAAATAATTAATTAATATGTAATATATAATACTAGCGTATGCCCGTGCCTAAAGCCACAGTATAAATAATGTTAGGATCAAAACCAAACGACACTGACTAATAGGGAAAAACAAAAAACAAAAAACAAAATCTAAATCAACAACCAACATAAACACTCAATGGTGCGCTTTTGTTACAATATATCAAAAAACTAACTTCAATTTGACAACAAATTGAACTTATCTTGGTAACCAATGGTGTTCTACACAAGAAAAGAAGTAGAGAATAACACTCAATGGAGTGGAAAAGGTTGTACACAATTAAACTGTTAATTAGTAGTAGTGATATTAAGCATTAATTAAGTCACTATATTAAGATACAAAGCAATAACAAATTGTATTAGTATTAGGAGTATCAATTGATAAAACCAAACGACACTAACTCAATTCCAAAGCCCTTGATTTTGGAGCTTATTGTACCAAATTGAACTCATATTTAAAATATGAATAAAAGAATCAAATCTTCTATTTCACAACAATCAAAATACCCACTAAATAGCTGAAAAAGCATTGGGGCAAGCATGTCTAAGAACTGTATATGGGTCTGCAAATCACACAGTGACTTGAAATCAATCTCCCAATGGTGTTCTACGCAATTTGGAATGACCATGCCCTAGCTTCTTCCTAATTATGTAAGCACACATACATACATATGCACATATATGTGTGTATCTCTGGAATGTAAATCTGGCCGTGTATTTTAGACCAAGTGTGTGTGCTATTTTGACAATCAATACCCACTAAATAGCTGAAAAAGCTTTGGGACAAGCATGTCTAAGAACTGTATATGGGTCTGCAAATCACACAGTGACTTGAAATCAATCTCCCAATGGCGTTCTATGCAATTTGGAATGACCATGCCCTAGCTTCTTCCTAATTATGTAAGCACACATACATACATATGCACATATATGTGTGTATCTCTGGAATGTAAATCTGGCCATGTATTTTAGACCAAGTGTGTGTGCTATTTTGACAATCGAGAAGTAACAACTCAGATCAGAACAGTGTTCGATCATTGTGGTAGGTCTCTCATAGGCAAACTATCAAACATGTTGTGGCCATGGGAGTATAAGCCAACATATTAGCACTTTTCTTCACCCCCATTGCCATCTGTTTTTCATTTCTAATTAAGGATCGCAATAATAGAGAGCCTGTGTTAGGTAAAACATATGCATATGCAAATATATATATAGAGAGAGAGAGTGGACCAGAGACAGAGAGAGCGAATTTAAATGGCTAAACACTAACAAACCACTATTCAACAAAGCATACTCAATGTAAAATTCCTCTATTTTGGGGTTTGAATTGCAGGGATTCTAAGGAAATTCAACCTAAAAGCTGTAGCGGACAAAGCTGTAGCGGTGCATTGGCAGTGAACAGACATGGATAACATAATGGTTTAGACATGGAACAAACATGCATTATGGTCCAAGAATTTTTTGTTTTTTGTTTTTTGTTTTTTTTTTCAAAGAGTAGGGAGTGAATACACCAATTTATAGAAAATTCAGAAAATTTATAGAAAAATCATGAGATTGAACAAAGAAAATTTGTAGAAACAGAGCATTGAACAAAGAAAATTCAACTAAGAAGTCAGCGAACCCTATACCAACACTTCAAATAGCAAAATCATGAGATTGGACAAAGAAAAACATCAATTACTCAAATGGGAGAAAGGGACTTAATAACAGAAGAGAGGGACTTAATAACAGTTTATATAACCAAAAATTTAATAAACGCCACTACAATCAGATTTTTGCTAAAATTCCAAACCAATATCAAGGACTCACTTCAAACAGAATTCAAACAACAAATTCAAACAATTCAAACAACTCAACACAGCGATGAAGAGTAGAGAAAGGGAGTGAGTTCGAAATCTTACCTTGCGAGTGCGAGTTCGAAGGGAGCTAGAGGAGAGCAGCGTCGTTTGAATTGCAGCAAGGAAAATTCTCCCTCTATTCCAGTCAGTAAATTTTCTATCAGCAAGGAAGAACATAATTCTTCATTTAGTTATCTAAAAAATTAATAAAATTTTGATTTCAAACATAATTCTTCATTTAGTCAATTGGTCTACCTTCTCATCATAGTGTGTAAATCAAAGAGCTAGGAAACAAAATTAATGTAACAGAGGTAGAAATGGGAGGGAAAAGGAAACTTTAAAATATAAATTTCATGGGAGGGGATGCTCTCAAAGCCTAAAAATAGCATGTATAGAACCCACAAAGAACTGAAGAAATGAAGAAAAAAATACAGAACAATAACAATAACACACCAGACTATAACATTAAAAGTTGAAACAACAAAAGCTGAGCAAGGGAAAATCAGAGGAATGAAACAACAAAATCTGAGATAAATAACTTACCGGAGTGAGCTCTGATGGGATAAAGAAGAAAACAACAAAAGCTGAGAGAGAATGGAAACTAAATGACCCATAAATTAATAACAGTATGGAAAATGACCTGTATGGTGTTTTTCCTCCCCTATGCACATCTTACTGTCTCATCAAAATGATGGAGGAGGCATTCACCATTGTTTAATTTTTGTTCTTTTCATTGTCCTAATTGATAGTGGCATCTGTACATTATATTTTTTTTGGGCTTAATTATTTACATTTGTTTTCTGTGGGCAAAGGGAATGAATTATCTTCATAACTGCAATCCTCCTATGATCAAGTATATTTTATTCAAAATCTAGAGACTGTTTTGTATTATTTTAAAATATTTATTTTCTAGATAGAGAAAATGGAAATGGCTTAGTGAACTTGTTTGGCCAAATGTTTTGTCCTCTATTATTTGGCTATCTAAATGTTATTCACAATAAATAAAGGAATAAACTGTTATTGAGTCCCTTCGAACACAATAAATTTGATGCTCATATAATTTTACCAAAATTCCAAACCAATATCAAGGACTCACAAAGCATAGAAAAATCATACAGTGAATGTGAGAATAACGATTGCTTGATCATAGGAGATAGCTTCCAAGCTTCCAAGCATTCAAATTGATTTTATTATATATATTATACATATATATAATATACACCAAGTCTTGCCCATTTTGTTCAATCAGGTCTGCGATTTAATAATCAACCAACAACAGCGATAAAGAGCAAAGATAAACAACTAGTTCATACACTCAATGATGGTCTTCACAACCATATAGACAAACCAATCAACTCTTTTCTTTTTGTTTTTATACGTTTTTTTTAATAAAAAATCAAAAACCAACTTTTCAAAACAACCCTTAATATGATTAACATTCACAATTCATTTAATTTTTGAATAAATTTTTCAAGCTCTGTAATGTTGCTATAAGTGAGAATTAGTATATAGAATTAGATACTGACATGGGGTCATTTTAGGGCAACTTAGAGCTGACTCTCTTGTATGTTTCATATGGGATTTTAGGAATCAAAGATTGTAAACTAATCAACTCAACATTTATATGCTAAGAAAGTAAAGCATGCAGTGGTCCTTGAGAACAAAGCAGAAATGAAAAGTGAGAATAAATACTAGTGTAATGGAAGACTTAGGCTAGAGAATCCTCTTTACAATTAACTTAGCATTATTACTTTTATTCTTAAACGTAAACAACCCCAGAGAATAAGAATTTCCACATGCACATTATTTGGAGTTGAGCTTAATGAGTAAATGGAGTAGCTAATGACACAACAAACCAACTTAACATACCCTAAGGACTTACTAATTAAGTCCTCCACGGTAGATAATCAATAAATACTTATGGTAGTGATTTTAGCTACATAAGTACTAAACCCACCAAATAATTTTCTAAGTAGGCAATAAGACTCTCAATGGTGTAGCTAGAAGAGTCCATGTGAGGCTAAGTAGCTAGAAACCCTTGACCAAACAATACCATAGGATGATAGGAGAGTTACATTCCAAAGCTGATAGATGCAAACCCTAAATAGGCTATGACTTGTTACACTGACTGACAATGCTCTAAAAATTCTAATATTTCCTCCTCCTTCTTCTCCTCCAGTGATGTCTCCAAAAGAAGGGTTATTATCGTCCCATGGAAGAGGATAAGGATATGGAAAAGAAGGGTTTTGATAGAAATCAGCTTCTCCTACTTCATTACCACCCATTCTTCTAGTGAACTCAACTGGCCTCACCGCTCGTGGAGGTGGGTGGGCAACAATAGGCAATGATGTCTGAATCTTGTATGCTTGGACTTACGACTCTTGCAGGTCTCCTTAGGCTGTGGGTGCTTGTTGGCTGGAGCTGCTCCTTATTTCCTCTAATGAGCTTCTTTGGAGGTCCTGTTGGTACCTCTTCAGGGATGCCAAAGCAGCAGCCAAAAGCAACACCACAACAGCCAAATAGCAGGCCAAACCAACCATAGCAGCAGCCAAGCAACCCCACCAAAGACAGGACATCCAAAAATAAGTAGAAGGACCAACTAAAGACCTAATTTCCTACATCTAGCAGTTAGCACATCTAGGAAATCAAGGCAAATGGGTAGCAGCAAACAAGCAGCTTGAACTAGCAGTGCCATGGACATGGATTACCTAATGGAAGATGGGCTATGAACATGCATAATAGAAGCAGAAATTAACAAACTAAATCCATGTGCAGGCCACATGCATTCATGGGTTCTTAGATGGTTGGAACCTGGAGCACACATCAATAAAGGTTCAATTATCACTGATATATTGTAGTTGTATCATCTAACCTCTTCTTCATTTGGAAAAATATGAGGCCAATGATTTGATTTCGTAATGACTTGTTTTGGACTATTCTGATTGTGTAGGTCTCGGTTATTAATATCTAATTAATTTTATTTTTTTATGAATAACTTAAGTAAAAAAACCTATAAAATAAATAGATATTAAACAAACATTCAAATATAGAGAGGAGTTGAACCCTAATTTATTAAAAATATAGACAATCAATCCAAATCATATAAAATATTCACATTTAGTCAAGGGCTTTTACTAAATTCAAACTATTAATTATAATCAATAGGACATTCATTCTCAAGTTTATAGCAGAAACCAGCAAAAGACATTGAGGATGGTGAAGTTTACAATTTATACATTCACAATTTATTGAAGAGAAACCTTGCTGGAAAGAATAAAATACAACATTAATTCTAAAAAATTAGTTTTGAAAATTAGGGAAAACATTAATTCTGAAAATTAGGAAAAACATAGATAGAAAAATAGAGAAATTGAGTGAGAGAGAGAGAGAGAGAGAGAGAGAGAGAGAGAGGACCCATGCCTGATGGAAGAGCACACACAGCAGTAAAGGAGATACGACGTTTGTGGCGACACTGAAGGAGGAGAACATGGATGTTGCAGCGGCGCTGGAGAAGAACACGCTGAAGGGGCGCTGGAGAAGAACACACAGCACTTGTGTTTTGTTTTGAGAGGGAGAGGGAGAGGGAGAGGGAGATTGATAGCAAAACTAATTTGTCAATAAACAAAACACATGGCACTTGTGCTTTGTTTTGAGAGGGAGAGACAGATAGAGATTGAGATTGATAGGAAAACTGATCAATACACACACAAAAAAAAAGAGAGAAAATACACACAAAAAAGAGGGAAAAACATAGACTATTTTTTTTCATTATCGTTTAATATGTCAAAATTTTTCTTTCAAAATTAGTAACAAAATAATTTTCTCACTAAAAGGCTTGAAATATTAAAAATTATTAGTGACGAAAATATATTTCTCACTAAATGGTCTTAAAATATTTAAAATCAAGTTTTTCAAAAAAAGAAAATTAAAATTATTGGTGACGCAAATATATTCCTCATTAATAATTTTTTAATTGGTGAAAAAAAAATTTTATCACCAAAAGTTTCAAAATTTTGGCGCCATAAAAAAAAATTAGTGGGAAAAATTTCCGTGACTGAAACTTAATTTTTTTCTCACCTAAAAGTAAGTATTTATTGACGGAAATAAATTTCATCACGTATTAGTTTTATTTTTTTATTATACATGACAAAATTTATAATTCATCATGGATTATTCTTATTTAGTAACGAAATTTATTTTTTTCACTAATTTTCATCACCATACCAAAACAAAGAATAAGAGAAAGAGACACTAGAAAAAGAGCAAAGAGAAATCACGTACCAAATCAGCGAGCGAAGAAGATGCGGCGATTACCGGCAAGACTACTAGTGGCGGTGGCGATTGGCAAGGCTAATAGAGGCGACGGCGATGGCGATGGCGATTAGCGTGGTGGAGGAGCAAGAGGTAAAACAAATTAAGACCCTATTTTGAAAGAGAGAGAGAGAGAGATAGAGAGAGAGATGATAAACAAAAAAGGGGTAAAAAAATTAATATCCTTTTTTTTATTGCCGCTCAATATATAAAAAATTTCCCACCAAAATTGGTGACAATATTATTTCCTCACCAAAAGATCTCAAAAATATTAAAACGTTTTGGTGACGAAAATATGTTCCTCATAAATAATTTTATAATTAGTGACAAATTTTTTTCTCACCAAAAGTCCCAAAATTTTAGCGCCACCCAAAAAAATTAGTGGGAAAATTTTTGGTGACGAAACTTAATTTTTCCTCACTTAAAATGAAGTATTTATTGACGAAAATAAATTTCGTCACCTATCATTTTTATTTTTTTATTATATGTGACAAAACTTGTAAATTCCTCATGAATTATTTTTATTTAGTGACGAAATTTATTTTCTTCACTACTTTTCGTCACCATAGATTACTTTTGTTGTAGTGAATGGTGGCTTTTCACTCTGGAGAAAGAAGAAATTATGACTTGGGCAAGATTCTTAGAAGTATTTTATGAAAAATACTTCCCAGATTCATTGCGGGAATAGAAGGCATCAGAATTCATACATCTAAAGCAAAGAACCATGACGGTGGCCAAATACGAGAGCAAGTTCACACAACTCGCTCGTTTTGCGACATATGTCATCCCCACCGAAGCTCGAAAAGCAAGAAAGTTCGAAGCAGGATTGGATGTTGAAATCAAAGATAGGCTTGAAGTTTTGAAACTGCCAACCTATGCGGAAATGGTAGACTGAGCGTACATTGCAGAAAAGTGGATTAAAGCCTCACATTCTGAGGAACCAAGCCAAAAGAAGCGATTATGGGAAAGAAACACCAGAAGACCTGGTGTTGTGCCTCCCAAAAAGGTGAATACGGGCACAACTAGTTTAGGCAATCAAGGTCCTACCAACCCCTAAGGAGGCACTATTCCAACTTGTTCTACGTGTGGAATGGCTTATTAGGGACAATGCCATCGGGACACGGGAGAATGTTTTAAATGGTCAAGTGGGCCACTTGCTGAGGGACTGTCCAAAGCTGACTAATCTTACAACCAGCTCCTCTGGCCCAGTTAGAAAACCCGCAGGACTTGGAGGAGGGAGGAAGGACCAAAAGCGCCAAGGAAGGGTTTTTGCATTGGTACCTGGAAAACTAGAAGTTACCGAAAACATTGTGTCAGGTATATTTTTTGCCTATGGTCATTTAGCTCATGTCCTTGTTGACTTTGGGTCAACTCATTCTTTTGTTGCACCACATTTTACTGCTAAATTGGCATCAACACCCAAACCCTTAGGATATATATTGTCTGTGTCTTTTCCTTCTGGTAGTTCTGCTTGTAGTACTGAGGTATACAGATCATGTATTATATCCTTAAAAGACAAGACCTTATACATAGACTTGATTCCCCTCCGCATTGGGAACTTTGATGTAATCTTAGGGATGGATTGGCTAGCTGCCAACCACACCTCTATTGATTGTAAAGCCAAAAAGGTCTCCCTCAAGTTACCAAACTAACCCGAGCTTGTCTTTAATAAGACTAGGGTTTCCAACCCTCCCTGTATTATATCCTCCATGACAGCCCAACGACTTCTAAGAAAGGGTTGTTGTAGTTATATCTATTATGTGATCGATACACAAAAAGAGGACCCCAACGTTGATGCAATCCCCGTGGTTCGAGAATTCCCAGATGTTTTTCCTAAAGATCTACCTGGTATCCCGGTCGATCGGGAAATCGAATTCACCATTGAAACTCAACTTGGTACCCAACCAGTATCAAAAGCCCCTTAGTGCATATCAATGACAGAATTGAAAGAACTGAAGACTCAACTCCAGGAACTCCTGGACAAAGGTTTCATTCGACCTAGTACCTCACCTTGGAGAGCCCCAGTACTGTTCGTAAAGAAAAAGAATGGCACAATGAGGTTATGCATCGATTACCGGGATTTGAATAAGGTCACCATCAAGAATCGATACCCTCTGCCATGAATCGATGACTTATTCGATCAACTTCAAGGCACCCAAGTATTCTAAAAAATCGACTTGCAATCGGGCTATCACCAACTAAAAGTCAAAACGAAAAGCATAGAAAAGACTGCCTTCAGAACTTGTTACGGGCACTATGAGTTTCTTGTCATGCCTTTGGTGTCACAAATGCTCTAGCAGCCTTCATGGACCTCATGAACCGAGTGTTCAAACCCTATCTTGATGAGTTCGTCATTGTTTTCATTGACGACATCCTCATATACTCCAAGTCACCGGAAGACCATGAGCATCACTTGCAAACGGTTCTACAAACACTACAGGATCACAAACTTTATGCCAAGTTAAAGAAATGAGAATTCTAGATCACTAGTGTACACTTTCTTGGTCACGTCGTTAACAAAGATAGCATCTTGGTTAACCCCCAAAAAGTTACAACAATCGTAGATTAGCCGAAACCTACTAATGTGTTAGAAATTCGAAGTTTCTTGGTTCTAGCTGGCTATTATCAACATTTTGTGCAAGATTTCTCAAAGATAGCATCACCCTTGACCCAGCTAACTCAGAAGAACACACCCTTTGAATGGACTGACAAATAGGAGCGTTGCTTCAAGAATTAAAAAGTCTACTTGTGTCAACTTCTATACACCTTACAGGAGCGGATGTGTTCGTATTTATAGTGATGCTTATACAATGGTTTGGGTTGTGTTCTTATGCAAAATGGAAAAGTCATTCCTTATGCCTCACGCCAACTAAAGACTCATGAGAAAAACTACACCCAACACATGATCTGGAATTGGCTGCAGTGATCTTTGCCCTCAAAATCTGGCATCATTATCTCTACGGTGCAACCTACGAGATTTACATTAATCATAAGAGTCTTAAATATCTATTCACACAGAAGGAACTAAATATGAGACAACAGCAGTGGCAAGAATTTATGAAAGACTATGATGTAGAGATCCATCACTGTCCAGGCAAAGCTATCGCGGTGGCAGACGTACTGAGCCGAAAGACAACCAGAGGTTTGGCATGTACTCTCGTTTCCTGCAAGATCAATGAACTGCTCGCCAACATAACCGTGAAACCTACCTTGATTGAAGAAATTAGAGCACATCAATGTAAAGATAAACTTTTAATGAAAAAGTACGAGGAGCAAAGGAGTACGCCTAATCCTGATTTCACTATAAGCAATGGGATACTAAAATTTCGAAATCGAATTTGCGTAGCCGACATTCCAGAACTTAAGAAAAAGATATTGGAGGAAGCTCATAGCTCAAGATTTGCAGTCCACCCTGGCAACACAAAGATGTACCAGAATCTGAAGGAACATTACTGGTGGACAGGAATGAAAAGAGACATAGCAAGCCATGTCTCCAAATGTTTGTATTGTCAGCGTGTTAAAGTAGAACATCAGAGACTTGTAGGACTATTGCAATCACTCCCCATTCTTGAGTGGAAATGGGAGCACATTACTAGGGACTTCGTGGTCGGGCTACCACAGTCATTTTCGAAAAATGATGCAATATGGGTTATAGTAGATTGTTTGACGAAGTCGGCACATTTTCTGCTAATCAAAATCACGTACTCCCTTACTAAGTCCGTCACTCTATACATCAAGGAAATCATTCATTTGTACGGTACCCCAGTCTCAATCTTGTCTGACCGAGACCCACGATTTGTGTCTCACTTCTGGAACAAATTGCAAGAGGCTTTGGGGACTACACTGAAGTTTAGCACTGCTTATCACCCACAAACTAATGGACAATACGAAAGAACAATCCAGACTTTGGAAGACATGTTATGTGTATGCGTGTTGTAGACACCCCATTTTTGACCGTCCTCAAGACTTGGACGTCACCGTTTGAACACTCGGTGATCATCCATGTTTGTGTTCGTTTGGAGTTCCCGGAGGTCTCGGCTACGCGCCTTGCCTCAGGATCTCCGAACTCGACCGTTTAGTGTCTGGTTTTGCACCAAACACTTGCATCTTGCCTTTGAGAGGCAGGGTATGCCTTGTGAGGCATCCCCACACACCACCGGCAG